GTGTGTGTGTGTGTGTGTGCATAACACACACGTATATTCGCTTATTCAAATATATGTACATCTATATCTAAATTCATGACCATATATATTGTATGTATGTATATATATACATCCTGCCTTGATAATTTATAGTCCTAGATAAATGGATGCATATCGATTCGCATTTCTGCAACGGTGTATGGGATCCCATAACTGTATTCTGGGGAAATTCCAGTGATTGGCATATACCTGCCACAGATAGTTTGAAATCAACATGCGTTTATTGCAAATCCTTGGAGTGAATGGGCGGCTTGTTCGTATCCTGACAGTCTATGTTACATGCAGTTCTCACAGGGGTCCAAAGTGGTGGAGTGGAAGGCCTTTTCTAAGGCCTCTAGCGGAAAACTGACGTGGCAAGAAGGAGAAAACAACAAGGTATGGCATCATCGCGTGTGTTTGGTGTAAGTCCCGCAATCTCTGACCAATGCTGTCTGTGTCAATATTATATTTGCGTTACATTCACAGGCTGCAGGCTCTCGTTGCACCTGCTTTTGTTTCTCAAACGATAGAGCACACGTTGTAAAACGTGCATGGCCGCACACGCACACCCCCTAATAGCGCAACGCTTTTTCATATCAACTGTGTACACACACAGACCACCGTGGAAGCAGGCACACAAAAGACCGTCACACTCGACTGGGCCACACGCACACTGACCGAAGAAACCAAACAGTTGGAGGCGGAACCGCAAGAGAACGGCACAACAGGCGCTGCTGAGGACACAGACACTGAGGCACGCGAAGGTGCGCCAAGTTTACGTGGTTGTTTGTTAAGTGTTATAACATGCATGCTGTCAGCATACTTGCGGTGGCGGGATATAGTGGTTATCTGAAGACGCTCGTATATGAATATACACTGCTAATTCAACGTTTACGTATTGTTTGTTTAGTGTTGTAACATGCATCATTTTAGCATACTTGCCGTGGCTGTGATATCGTGGTTGTCCGAAGATTCTTGCATATGCTTCTTCATTGCTAATCTATCTCCCATAACACGTAGCAGATACTACAGGTAGCGCCGTTGACCAGTCCGACACTCCGATCGAATTAGAAGCAAATGAACAGTGTCCCAACCCAGACCTACCCGATGTGCCTGTGCTTGTTGCGCACGAAATCAGTAGAAACGACCATGAGGAGCCCTCCTCACACACTGAGGACAAAGGCACAGACACAGCCAAGGATGCACCTGAAGGGCAGACAGAGGACCACAAGGCACCAGTCAGTGCAGCGGAAGAGAAATCGCCTGGAAATGTAAGTGCGACTACCACTGTGCATGTCTTTTGTCTCTGTAGTACTGAACAAGTGCGCTGATTATGTGTTGGGGCGGGCCTAGCGGTTCGTCTGTTGTCATGGTTACCATCTTCCCTGTTGTCGGCAGCCCTGGGTCTCCCAACTGCTCATTTTTGGTCACTGCTTGTCCTTTCTTTGTTATTGTTATACTCTAGAAATTAAGAACCCAAACGTCCAAAGTGTACTTTGAGAAGGAAATGGAGAGGCAGCGAATGGTGCAGGCATCAGAGGAGATTGGTCTTGAGAAAGACCACAAGGATTTGAAGCGACAGCAGTCTGTCAAGGCACGTACATTGTTAAACACAATAGGCATGCCGGATTGTGGACGTCCAGTCTGTGGTCCTATATATATATATATATATGTGTGTGTATTTATGTATATATATATATATATATATATATAAATAATACACACATACAGATATAT